ATGGAAGAATATCCTTTGAAGAATTCTGTGCTGTAAGTAACTTCTAAAGAAAACTTGTGTCATTTACAGGGAGAGGAACCCCTCAACTGCTGCTCCTGAAAAAGGGCAGACAGTTGAAAGGTGCATTTTAAGAACTTTGGGGTTTACAGAGCAGAATGCATGAATGTACCACTTGAGACTTGAAATGGTTGATTTTCACCCATGTGGTCTGTTTATTTAATTATTTGACAGCAAGTTTTAAATTCTTTCTTCAGAAAAAGGAAATGAATCTTGAACATTTGAAAATTGCAACGAGTGTTTAGACATTAATTTGAAATTAATGTTAATGAACATACATCTGGTAACACAGTTTGGGAATTGCTTTTTTTCCTACTCTTTGAATTTACAACTTCAGTTCAAACATAACTTTTTCATACTCAGTGTGAGTTCTAAAAAAAGGGGGGGGGAAATCTGCCATCCCCCCAACTATTAAAGCGAAAGGGTTCTATTGTTTGCATGTTTGAGGTCTTTTTAAGTTATTTTTGTGACATGTAAAAAACACATAGTCATCTGCAAAGATCTCAGAGTCACAGCCTGCAGAGACCTGGATTACTGCATTATCTGTTTTCTTGCACTGGGCTATTGTCTTCCAGCCATCCATCAAGTGATGTTGCCTTTTCTTTTTGTCCTTGGGCTCCTGCCCAGGCTTCCTGTCTTGTGCTACCGTTAGATTTTCCTCTTCCTTTGAATTTCATCAGTTTTTGTTGACCTGACAAGAGGCTTTTCACTTTTACAATCTCTTATCCTCTTGTTCTTGCATTTTACCTCCTCTGAACCTTGTGCCATCTGTCTGCAGAAATACATTTTCATTTATTGCATTTGGCAGATACCATTTGGCTTTTGAGCTTTGTTCACACATTGTAAGTTCCTCTGACATGGCACCTTTCCTTCTCCCTTTGCATTGCATGTATCACACCCTCGTGAACACTGGTTATTTTTTTCTGGGTGTGTGCAGTTCTGTCAGAAATCCTGCTGCTGTTCCTGTGACCCTTTGCTACTCATGGAAGGGTGCAGAGTTTTACAGGGAGTTTTAGAAGTTAAGTGAGCATTTTATTTAACATGCAGAAAAACAGTGCACGGTCAGAATATGAGCTGAGGAGGAATGCCAAAATGGTGTCATTTACACTGGTTTTCAGGCCTGTGAGTGTGTAAATTGTGCTAATATTGAACGACCTTGGTTTGTACATAATTCATTTCTGTCCCTCACAGTACTTGTGAAATGTAAATGAGTGTGGAGAGGCCAGGGAAGTACTGTCATTATGATTGACCTGAATGCATCTATTGAATGTGTTCTTTGTACCTTGCTAACTCTCAATTCTCATGTCTCTGAACCTTATTTTTCTCCCAGGTTGTAGGAGGCCTAGATATCCACAAAAAGATGGTTGTAGACGTGTGACTCTGTAGGGCACCACCCAACACTTTTGCTTTCTTCTCCATCTCTGAAGATCTGCTCCAGACGTCCAGCAATGCTCTCTGTGTATTTAAATGGAAGTATTTTTCTCTGTGAAGCCACATTTTCCAACATGAGCCTCATGAAGCCAACTAAGTGTTATTGAACTTTTATTCTCTCAATAACTCAGTGTAGCACTTTAAAGTCTGAAGGACAGCAAAGATGGAAAGAGCATATCAGTGTGGCGGAGAAAGGGAAGGGGTTGGCTTTTTAATTTATTTTTCTTCATCTTTTATAACAAGGAAATATCTATCTATATATATATATGTGTGTGTGTATTTATATATAGATATATATGTAGCTTTCTATATGTAGTAGCTAGGTGGGCTTTAATTTAATATACTTGATTCAGAAACAAAACTAGAGTACAAAGTGCCAAGCAGAATATTAACAGTTCAATATATGGATATACATCCTTACTTTTATTTCACACAGTTTTATATATATAGTAGAAGAATGTAAAATTTTAACTGGGTGTTAGGTCAACTCTTTTCCTTTCCTGTGACTGTTCAGATGTTTCTATATATTGACTGGCTGACAAAGCATTGCTTCTTATTAAATCACCTTAAGTACTTTTTTTTTTTTTTGTAACACAGGAGACTAAGTTTATTTATACCTGTTAATATATTACCAGGGACTGTGTCTCTTTGCTAAATAACTTAGTACAGTTCTACTTAATATGAGAATATAGTTTAATGCTACTGCCAAGAACTAGTCCTCGTGTGCATATAGTGACTGCGGAATGCTTTGATGGCCCTTAAGCTCCATCACCCAGGAATTGGGAGCAGTTACAGCTGTCCTGAAGCCAAGGCACATCTGCTGTTCTGGGTTCAGTTTAGATACAGCTGCTCAAGTTGTTAGATGCATTCATGATTTTCTCTTGTGCTTAGCTTAAATGAAATTAGGATCAACATAACTGTGCAGGATTCCCACCTACTTATTTTATACAGTACTTAGATTATAAAATGTTCTTGCCATTTAAATTCTGTTGTTTCAACCATGATAGTTTCCCCCTTGCATTTAAAAAAATACTACAGGTAGCATAAATAACTGGTAATATTTTATATATATATGTATATAGGATTCATACAGGGGGGAAATCTTGTTAACCTATGCCATAGAGGAGGAAAACTTCACACTATCTAAATTTATACCTCTTGCAGTTCTCCAGTCCTTTGCCTGGAGAATGTTTTTCTTTTCTAGATTTGTCCATATCATAATTTGTAACGGAAGGTAACTTGATATATTTGTGTGATATAAAAGTAGCGAGCCATGTTTTACAACTTTATATCATCCCTTCCCTTTTCTGCAGTGGTACTATTGGCTGGAAGAAAAACATTTGCTAGATTTTTTTAGAACAGTACATCTTTCCTGTATAGTAGTTTTTCTATTAAAAAAAAAATTGTTTTATAATGAGCAGTGGAAAGTGCAGGTTGTCTGAACCTCTTCAATCGAGCACCTGTCTGCCATAGCTGTTCCTTCAACTGAGTGCTGCACATCATGGGCTCTGTCTGTGAGAGAGAAATCCAGGTGCTTGGTGTCCTTGCATGACATGAAGTTTTGCATGTAGATCGATTTGAAATGTTCCTCTTGTTTACATAATTTGCATAATTTAAAAGATAATGTTGCCAAACTTTGGTAAATGTTAATGTTCAAAACAAAAATCTCCACTACATGTAACTTTTTTCTTCCTCTGGATCAGTACGTGGTTTATAATCCCAGCCAGTGGTTGTATCTGTTCCAGTGTCAATTGCCATGTGCTCTGCTTCAAGGGGGAACTAGTCTTTTGTGAATTTTTTGTACATAAGTATTTGTTACAAACATTTTAGCAAATGCTTTCAATTTCTCTTGCTTGTGCATATCTTGGCTGGCATTATAGAAATTAGTGCTAATGTTATTTCCTTAGGGGGACTGGAAGGGGAGGGATGAAGTTTTTTTTAGTTTGTGTGGGGAAAAATGATTTATGTTGAATGTTTAGTTTTTCCTCTGCATGCTACATCATATGTTGTGGGAACTATAAGAACCTTCATACTATATGAATACAAAATAAAATATTTGAACCTTGGCTGGGGTGCTTTAGTACTTACACAACCTTTCCTGTTCACCTTAAAGCAGCTCTGCACACTGATCTAAGGAGAACTTGTTCACAGTTTTTTGTTACTCTTCCATTGTGAAGATTTACTGAAAAACTCTACAGGGTGCACAGTCCACTGAACACTTCCAGGATTTATTTCAGTGTTTCAAGACCACTTACATTTTGGGGTTTTTCAAAGGCACATCGTTCTCTTTGGTAAGTGTCCAAACTGGATAAAAAACTTTGAAATCCTTGTGGTAAGTGGAAGGTGGCTTAAAAAACAAAACAAACCCACCCTAACATTAATGAAATGGAGAACGAAAGGCAGCTTCTTTCTCAGGGAAAGGTCTGAGCCTTGTGCTGGTGACACCAGCCCTCCCTGCAGGGGTATGTCATTCCTGGAAGCTCTGCTGTGCTCTTTGGGGTGCAGGTGTTTGGGCCTTCTGAGTGCTGCCCTCTCTTTTCTGCTGATTTGGGTTGGGATCAATATGCACCTGATTTAGGATAAGCAATAATTTTTGTGTGTTCTTGCCTTACTCTCCCTCATCTTTCAAGCTAGTTGAGGTAAATGCAGATGATGAACAGAAGATGTGCTGACCAGGTGTGCACACCTGGAGCTGCTCTCCCCTGTACAGCTTGGACTGCTGAGCACTATATACTTAGGTAACTCAGCAAGTCTTAAATCTGTTGGCAGCTGAAGACTTGAATCAATTTGGCTGTAGTTATAATGCCATACTGCAAAGTGCTGCTCTGGAAACTCGGACACTGAGTGAAATGCTGACTCAGTTTGCTTGTGTATTTGATAATCTCATTTCAGTTTTTGTTTTCATTCCCAAGCCTGAACTGAATTATTTTGCAAGAGACTTGGCAACAAGTCTGGCAGGCAGAGTTAGAAGAAAAGGGCCCATTTTTAAGTCATACTGGGACTGGCCTCTTCTAATCTCTCCCTCTACTCTTCTGTGCATTTGGTATTTTAAGGAGGAGGAGACACAGGACTTTCCAGTTGTTTGTGCTCTGGTACACTGGCAAGTACTAAACTAGTGGCTCTTGGCTTCACTAGGCTGTCCTTACAGATCATTTTCAGGAGAATTATAAAATTTATATATGTGCAGATTCAGGATGAAGTGCAAATACCTTATTTAGCTCTTTGTCTTACTCTTTCCATGTGATGCATTGTTCCAGCAGCAGCAGAGACTTGGTGGGCAGCCTGCCATTGAACTCTGCATTCCAGTTGACTCTTCGTTTTTCCAGGAGGATACCAAACTGTGATGTGTGGATTTAAACACTTAACTGTGCCGATTCCTTTAGGCTCAAAACATGAAACTCAAAGGCTTTCTGAAGTTCTGACAGCAGCCTCTTAAAACTTTGACGTTGTGAAAATCCGTAATGAAGCGTGTTTTTGTTGGAGGCTGTTCAAGTAAAATCATGTACTCGTGCTTTTGATATGGACACAACCAACTTAAAATACCTTTTAATAATTATACAGAGACATTGTGTATGTTCAAATCACACCACATGTCTGAAGGCAGTCAGACTGCAAAAACAGTCCCATTTTTCTTCTGGGCTTCCAAATCCAGCAGAAGAGCTGTGGCTTCTGTAGCTCCAGGCCTCTCATGTGCCCTGGAAGCAGAACTCCTGTGTGTCCAGGAACCTGGACTCCCAGCCCCAGTCCTTAGTAGTGCAGCTCAGAACCTCTCGGCTGCTCTGCTGGCCACTGCCCTAATATTGCCATAAACCTTGGAAGGAGGACTTCCTGCAGAAGAAAGGACAAATCCAGTCAGCAAACGAGATGATCCATGTCACGAAAATGATGTTTTGCTCTCACATGTGTGCTAAAAGCAGAGAACTAAGCCCAAGGGGGAGAAGGATGGTCAAGGTCAGTCACCCTGACTTACTGCAGGTGCTGTCAGGGTGAGTTGTCCCCTTTGGGACAACTTTCCAGGCCCCTCAGGGAATGCTGCAGCTACATCAAAAGGCAGAACATCTTTCTGCCCCATGGAGAGGGTTTTTGGAGCCAGAACAAAGCCCTGGACTCCTCACTTCCCCCCTCCAAAACTTTCTCTTAAGTGTATCAAACCAACTGCCAGCAAAGTACCTGCTCCAAGTGCAGGTGCGGACAGGCCAGGGAGAAGGTAAGAGCCACAAAGCAGTTTCTCAAAATGCAAGATCTATTTATATGTAGTGGAGAAGATTAGATAAGAGGACTTACCTAAAATTAGATTGCAGATTGCTGTTCGTGCCATTTTAATGTTCTGAAAAGATCCCAAAATATGAATTTTTCTGTAAAAAGCAAAGTAGCCTTACGTTAATGGAAAAAACCCTCTGTGATTAGAGAGTTAACAGAGAGTTGGAGGTGAGAGATGAATGTGGAATTCTGTATCAGTGGACTAGTTCCTTTTCTACACTTGTAAACAGTAAAAAACCCCAACTGAAGCCCAGAAAATCTACAACATAAGACCTGTGCTCCTCCAAATCCTTTTAAAATAGATTTTACAATTTGGAAATTTAACAGTGTAGCAGCTTTAGGAGGAAAACGTTGCTGGGTTCGTGAGTTCAACTTTGATTATTCGTAAGAAGGAATTCTTACACTGTGGGGAATGACTGAATTCTAAGTGTGCTGGTGACTGTCATTCTCATAACAAAAGGTCAAATAAATACTTGTGTTCATTAAAAATAGCACTTAATTTTTCTTACTACTGCTCTGCAACAGTTATAAAAAATCCAAGTTATCTTTGTTCCTGGCAGGGGACACGGATGAGCTGAGGGATTGTGTTTTGACCAGGAGGAAGTGAGTCTGTACTTACTGGTCAGCGAGAACGATGCGTGTCCTGGTTACGTTTTCTATGGTGAATTTAGTTTTTCCACCTTTCCCTGCTATTCTCCCTATTGCTCTTGACAGATGATCTCCTTTCAAAGGTTTGACTGAAACGAGAATAAGGTGCCCAGGGTAACAGCAGTGGTGCATATCCCTGTAATCCTCCCCTTGGTCAAGTTACTGGAAACAACTCAGGACAAGTAATACAGAAACAGCTTCACTGGTGAATACAGATCCATCCAGATTTTACTTTCGGTGACCAGCAGTGCAAACTGCATCCAGTGCTACCTGACTGTGAGGTCTCTGGCATCCAAGAGAAATTCTCCTGCAGAACAGCAGTGGAAGGCACTGCATTGCACCTCAGACTGAGGAAACAGAGCCAAAGCACACCCAGTTAACAGTGGCAGAAATGAAGTAGATAGGATTCAGATTCTGCTCTACAGAGAACTCCAAGGAACTCTGGTAATACATGACATAATAGATGTTTCTGGTTTTCCTGATCTGTGAGGGCAAGTGACACAAGTAGAGCAGGGGCAAAGAAAGAACAGATACTTGCAAGAGGCACACACAACTGGAATACTGCAGCAGCAACTACTCACCATCTGTAACTTCAAATGACTCTAGAAAAAGATCATCTAATCTGATGAGAGCAAGAGCGTCCTAAAAGAGCAAGAGATTTGTTATTAGCACGAGTGCTTCACTACCATAGAGTTTAAAGCAGATGTTCTCTTTTTACATATGAACAAATGACATCAGTTGTATTTCTTCAATTCATCTATCAAATAATAGCTAAAGTTAAATCCACTGCTTTTTCAACAGCCACGTAAGTATTTCTGTCTAGACAACCCCACCCATGCTTGGATGCCCCTGCATTCACCCCAACCTCACCTGTGCTACTGAAGCCAGTACAGGTCTGGGACAAGGAGCAGCCCCTACAACACTGCAAAAACTGGGTTTCTTTTCTCTAAGTAAAGTCTGAGTTTTGCACAGACTGCAGGTTATTGGCTTGGATTAAGACAAAATGAACAGTCTTGATCTGTGCAGAGCACCTCAGAGCCAGATTACTGCACCGTGCTGTTTTACACAAGCTAAATATGTCCTCTGTTTCATAAGTTTAATTATGTGTTGTTACAAGGTTACTTTTTTATCCTGCATTACCTTAAGAAACTCGATGTCCACTCCAGTCACAACTTCAAACAAATTTATTTCTAGAAAACCACCCAAGGATTTTTTTTCTTTCTGTAGTTTACAGAGGCCAAAGATATCATGGTAGCAAACTGAAGCAATCTCACAACCAAGTTGTTGGGAGACTCACCTCTACTTGAAACCCAAGTATAAATGCTTTCACAAAATCAGCTGCTTTTGTCAGGGCACTGAGATCCTTTGTCTCTTGACAAGTCTGCAAGACAAGAAGTTGTGTGTGCAAATTAAGACCAGACAAGCTAGAATCAGGACTTGAAAAATCTGAGGGATACAGACTAATCATAAAAAAAACCCTACATGTAGTTAATTCAATTAATTCAATTCAGTTAATTGTGTTTTACTGAAAGACACAAGTAATATGCTTTGTGGTTTTTTATCATGTTCACCCACAACAAGATGAATGTATCAACTACCCCAGCCTGTGCTTGGAGGGGAGAGAACAGAGAAGGTGCTGAAAATTCCCCCGCTCCACTGAGAACCCTTTTTATTGAGAAAACCCAAACCTACATGAACTAAACCGCAACAGAGAACTGCAGAAAAAAAGAGAAGGATGATAATGGCAGCAGAGTTATTCTAATGATAATATTCTAAAGATGCCTTAGCAGGTAAATGAAACACATTTCAAAGTTTTAAATCGTCATGGTGGATATGGGCAAAACGAAATCTGCTTGATCAAGAACAAAATTAGTCTTGCTTCTCGCCAGACATCATTTCGTATCAAAAAGTGGTGTTAAAATCCCAGGTTTTGCTTCTGCACAGTTATTGAGTGGAACTGCAGGAGTTCTGCTTCTCCCTCCCTTTTCCTTTAAGTTATTTCTTGGAAGTTTAAGTAAGGTATAGTTCTGTCATCTTTCCTTTAGTGGTAAGATTTCAAGATTAGGAAGCAAAATTCCTGTTGGTGTCTGTACTTTCCGTATTGAAAGATCTCGTATGTTGACATGGTTAATTCAGTGAGTCTTATGTCAAAGCTTTGGATCTACACTTAAAAACTGCTAATTTGAATATTCCTGAGAAAGAGTAAGAAAAAAGAATGAGCATCTACAACATTTTCAGGTCTATGTTGGTATCTGTGCCCTAAAGTATTCCAGTGCAATCCCTTAAAGAAAAATTATAAGCAATCAAATACTATGGGCTCTTTTTGTCTGCCACAAACAAAGGCATTAGAAGATCTGGTGCCCCCCTCAAAAGAGGGGGGCAAAATTGACAGGTAAGCATTAAGTAGCCTTAAATAGCTGGAAAACATTTCATTCTAAAATCCTATCTAACACATAGATTAAAATTTTTCCTTAATGCTACAGTAGATAATTTTCTCCTATAAAAAACTGAACGCCCCTCCAGTTTATACTGGCCCCTGCTGGAACAGATTTACACTTTTGGATTTTACTTGCATTAACTACTTGTTCTGAACAACTGCCAGATTTCATCCCCTGTGAGGGTCTTCTGGGTAGGTGAAACCACACAGTTTCCATTTTTCCAAGCATTATCTGGGATTAGGGACACTTCTCTAGTCTTTCATCTGTGGAACAAGAAGGAATGATGTTGAACATGAGAGGCCCCGCCTTTCGGGAGTCAGAATCACAGAATGTTAAGGGATTGGAATGGATCTTAAAAATCACCTCGTCCCAACCCCCTTGCCATGGGCAGGGACACCTCCCGCTATACCAGGTTCCTCAGTGCCCCATCCAACCTGTATTTGAACACGTCCAGGGATGGGGCATCCACAACAACCCTGGGCAACCTATTCCAGTGTTTCCCCACCCCCAGAGTAAAAAGTTTCTTCCTGATATCTAACCTAAATTTCTCCAGTTTGTACTCATTCCCCTTATTCTGTCACTACAGTTCCTGATGGAGTCCCTCCCCAGCTTCCCTGTAGGCCCCTCCAGATGCGGGGAGGGTGCTATGAGATCTCTGCACAACCTTCTCTTCACTTAGCGGGGAAGGCAGGAGGAAGGGGGCTCCCTTTACCCTGATCTCGACGTTCCTCGTTTTCAGGTTGAACCTGATCTGAAGCTGCAGATGCTCCACGATGGGCGTGAATATCTTCATCCAGTTCTCCTTGAGCGGCGTGTACCTGTTGGCGGGCACGGGGATCTTCCTCAGCTCGCCCTTCCCGACCTTCCGGGGGCGGGGGGAGGAAGAGAGAGAGAGAGAGAGACAGAATTAGGCGGAGGAGGCGGGGGCACCCCGAGAACCGGCGTTCCCCCGTCGCCCCGCGTACCCCGAGCGCCTCGGCGGGCACAGGAGGGAAGGCGGGCCGCTTGCTGGGCCGCGGCCCCGCCGTGTCCATGGGAGCCCCCGCCGCGTCCACGGGAGCCCCCGCCGGCTCCTCGCCGCCCGCCCGCCGCTTCCTCCGCCTCCGCCGGGACACGACGCTGGTGAAGCCGCCTGCCGGGGCCGCCGCCTCGGTCTCCATGTCCGCCCGCGGTCCCACCACGTGGTGCCGCCGCCGCCGGAAGGGGCCGGCGGGCGCTGCCCCCGCATCCGCCGGGGAGCGGCCGCGGCGGGGCGGGATGTCGGCGGCGCCGGCGCTGGAGCGGCCGCAGGTGGTGTCGCACGCCCAGCAGGCGCTGAGCTACACCGTGTTCGACTGCAAGTGGGTGCCCCGCAGCGCCCGCCTGCTGTGCCTGGGCAGCGCCGCCCGCGGCACCGGCCTCGTCCAGCTGTACGAGCTGCGAGGGGCCCGCCTGGAGCTGCTGCGGGAGGTGAGCGCGGGACACCCCCCGGGAACGGCTTGTCCTGGGCCAGGGGACAAATCCCGAGGCTGGTTTGCCTGTTAAACGTGCTGATCCCGCGATGTCCCGTCTCTCCTGTCGCTAAGGAGTGACCTTATCGCTCTCTACGAGTCCCTGACAGGAGGTTGTAGCCGGTGGGGTTCCGGCTCTTTTCCCAGGCAACCAGCGACGGGACGAGAGGACAGAGGCTTAAGCTGGGCCAGGGGAGGTTTAGGTTGGACATTAGGGGGAATTTTTTCACAGAACGGGTGATTGGACATTGGAATGGGCTGCCCAGGGAGGTGGTGGAGTCGCCGTCCCTGGAGGTGGTTAAGGAAAGACTGGATGCGGCACTCGGTGCCAGGGTCTGGTTGACATGGGGGTGTTCAGTCATAGGTTGGACTCGATGATCTTGGGTTGCATTATAGGTTACAGGGCTGTGTTTGGGGTGTGTCGGGGTTGTTTTGTTTGTGTTTTCCCCTCAGACTGACCTTCGAGCATTGGCTCATTCTCAGGGGTAGCAGCACCTCAGGCACATAAGGCCCCACCAGGCCACAAGCAAACAAATTGTTGTTCTTCAGGACCAGTAAACTGGACTCTCTGCTTTCCTGTGCACGAGGAAATAAACTCAAAATGTAGTTTACCTTTGACAGCATTTTGATAGTATTTTGCACCAAATATCCCATGTGTGTTTCACTGACACCTACCCCTGTGGACTCCCGAGAGCTGCGTCATCTGTGGGTTTGTGTTGCCTTTTCCATGTGCTGACACAGACATTTCCTTCCTTTAAAAGATTGAAAAGCCCAAACCTATAAAATGTGGAACTTTTGGAGCTACATCTCTGCAGCAAAGATACTTAGCTACAGGAGATTTCGATGGAAACCTTAACATATGGTAAGCGTGGATGTTCTCTGGAAGCTTTTTCACTTGGTGTTGTGTTTGTCTGTCTGAATGGAGGTTTCTGTGCCTGGCTTTTGTGTGAGATGCTCTCCCTGCTGCCTGTGGTTGGGACCCAGTGTAAGCTTCACTGGCTACTGTATTTGGACCGTGCCTGTTTTCTAAAAACAACGTGAATTCTGCAAAGTGTTTAATTCAGTGCTGCTTCACTCCCATCTTTTGTGTGCAGCTACAAAAACCTGTTAAAATTCTGTGAGGTCCTCCTCTGAAAAGAGGCTTTTGAGTGGATATACAAATACAAACAACAGGTTGTGTTCAAGCTAAATTTGATTTCTAGATTAAATATATGTTTTTAATCTTGAAGTCTTGAATTTTTTTTCAGGTCCTTGAATGATTTGTGTAATTAATTTTTAGGTAAATTGATTATCAAATAAAGCAATAGTGTCAAAAGGGGATTATTTTATTATCATTATTATTATATTTCCCTTGTCATGGAATTATCAATTCTTGTTGGAATAGCAAGAATGACACGGAGTAGTCACTAGTGGAAATGTAAAATAAAATTCTGAAGGATTCTCAAAGAATGAGAATCAGTGGGAAAGAACCATGAAAACCATGTCTGGATACAATATTCACCTGAAGTTGAAGACCAGTAGTCAGAGCTAGGTGGGGATCAGTGAATCAGGTCGTTTTACAGCCTTACTGAAAGTAGAGCTAATTGGAGTATTCTGATCTGTAGTGTGATTCATTTTTAGTCCAGCATAAAAACTGAGTCTGAAGGGTTGCTCTGGTGAATCCCTCAACTGCCTTTACAAACAGGGAAGTCCAGAACTGAGCAAAACTTTTCAGACCAGTCCAAAACAGTAGCCAAAGAAGGAATAAACAAAGACACGTGGTTCTTAATGGTGATATCCATATTTTCTTCTCACTGTTAGTCTGAGCTTGTATGATTTATGCTCAAGTTTCCTCTCATTTTTATACAAATCCTGAGTGTCAAGGAAAATGCCATATTATCTGTTCTTTTTCTTTCTTGCCTAGGAATTTAGAAGCTCCTGAAATACCAGTGTATTCTGTGAAAGGTCATAAGGAAATCATAAACAGTATAGATGGTGTAGGTGGCTTAGGAATTGGGGAAGGTGCACCAGAAATTGTGACTGGCAGTCGAGATGGTGAGTTAGTGAACTCTGCAAGTCTTCTCAGTTCCTCTGAGCCTGTGAGCTCTGATGGCAGGGCACAGTCTGCCATCTGAACTAGTTACAACCTGTTGCAACTAGTTCTTCATACACTGTCTTTTGAATCTTCCTTGGGACAAATTTTCTCTCTTTTAGAAGCTGTAGACAAGCACAATACGCTATTGTCACTGAGGTTGGGGCAGAAGGAATACAAAGCAGAATAAATGCAAAATATCAGCTAGAGAAAATACATCCTTAAGAAATGCTTTCACTTTATTTCTGTTTGGTTTTGTGGTTCTTTCTTGTATCCACTAAACACAGTCAGGCTTTCTGGAATTGAAAGGGTTTTTGAATGATCAGGCTGAAAAGCAAAGGGCTTTCCAGGGAAAATGAACACAGTGTGACAGTGTATCCCTAACACAAAATCCATTGTCCTTCTTTACCAGGAACTGTGAAGGTGTGGGACCCGAGGCAGAAAGACACTCCTGTGGCTAATATGGAACCTGTACAGGGGGAGAGCAAAAGAGACTGCTGGACAGTGGCATTTGGTAATTGGTCAGATTATGATCGTTCCTCTCTCTAATATGACTGGGCTTTGATGATTATCAATGTATTTCAGGATGTTATGGAATAGTTTATTTTGTGTAGATGCATAAGTAGCAGAGTTTGCTTTTCAACATTGCCAAATTTCTATGGGTTTTATGTTGGTTTTTTTTTCAAAATAAGCTGGTTTTGTGGCAGTTTGGTTTTGGAATCATTCTCTAATCACCTTTGGTCACCATTTGCGGTTGGACTCGATCATCTTGAAGGTCTTTTCCAACCTAAATGTTTCATTGATTCTGTGGTTTCACAGATAAGCTGTGCAAGCTTTATTTTTAAGCCTAGGAATGTAAAAATAGTATATCGAGCTGTGTTTTTCTGAAGGAGCGTAAATGTTGCCATGCACGGGAAACACATCACTGTTGTAGTGCAGTTCCAACTACCAAACATTAAGGCTTTAAGTTATGAGAAGATCCTTGAAGCTTAAGAGCTAATTAAAGAAAACAGCAATGCCTGATGTGAACTCTGCATTTTTTCTTTTGGGCAGAACAAGCTCCTCGTGTCTTACACAGGATTTTTCTACACCCTCAGCTTTGAAAACCACCCAGTTCCTGAAATCTTAATATCCCAATAGCCATTTTTTAAGTTATTTATTTATTTTGCATAAATGTAAGTTGAAATTGCAGGCTTGGTACTTCTGAAGTTTACAGGGTTTGTGCTTTCTGATTAATTCTTTCTCTGTGTCCAGGCAATGCTTACAACCAAGAGGAACGTGTTGTATGTGCTGGATACGACAATGGGGACATTAAATTGTTTGATTTAAAATCCATGTCACTGCGGTGGGAGACCAACATTAAGAATGGGGTAAGGAAACCATAAAAGTGTTTTTTCATTCCATCTTCTATGCAGGATGAAAAAATTAAAAGGACTCTGTGTGAAACTTACACAGAAGATGTTTCTGCTGAGATTGCACCAAGAAGTAATTTTCTTTAAGTTAAAAAAAATTGTACACCTCAAATTCTTGGTCAGGACAGGATGGGGTATTTTTTCAGTGGATTCATGTGTTCAGATGGATTTGTTATTTTCAAATTGGTGGGGATGTCATTGTAGGAATAACGAATTATTAGTGTATATTAACAAATAACAAAACACCAATTTGTTTTTTTTAGCAATGGCTAAATTTGAAGAGTGAACCTGTCTTTTTTATATTGCCAGGTTTGCAGTGTGGAGTTTGACAGAAAAGACATAAATATGAACAAGCTGGTGGCCACATCGCTTGAGGGAAAATTCCATGTTTTTGATATGAGAACTCAGCATCCAACCAAAGGTTTTGCTTCTGTTTCAGAGAAGGTATGGGGAGACAGAGGATTTCTTAATAAACAAACTTCCTGAACATATGCTGTCAAAGTACTTCAGGTGTAGTACAAATAGGTAATAAATGCCCAGATTACTTTATAAAACAGTTTTGGGGTTTTTTTTTGTAGTAGTTAGTGAACAAAGTCTGATGATAATTAGAGAAAAGTCACTTTTTTTGGTGAAGTTTTTTTTTTTTTATATAGAAAAAGCTGAGTTTCAACATAATATCTTTAATCATCTCTACCATCACTCAAAGTAGATAAGTTGTTGGAAGTGCTTCGATTCTGAATCACAGAATGTTTTTACTGAATTAGTGTTTGTAATAATTAAAATGTGAAAATGGAATTTGTCCTTCATTTACTGCATTTAAGCTTTTCCTTGTGGATGTTTACAGACAGATGGGTGTTGAATCAGAGCACGTGTGCTGGGGTTTTTCCTAAGTGATTTCTGTTGCTGCATGATCTTGCTGAGCCTTGGATGAGGTTTAAATTTGAATTGTAGACTGTTTGTTGTGTTTGCACAGTGTTTGCAGCGCATTCCCTTCCAGTAAGGATTTTAAGAGATGTCAGACAGTTAAATCAACCATTCACCGTGAGAAGGCTGGGCTCTCTTTATAAAAGTGGTCTCTGTTTTAAGATTCTGTACTTTTTCCTGTGAAGTTTGTCACTAAATTACTTCTGTACACTGCTAATTTTAATTTTTTTTTTTTTTTTTTATTAGGCACAAAAATCTACCATATGGCAGGTCAGGCACCTGCCACAGAACAGAGATATATTTATGACAAGTGGAGGATCTGGGAGCCTTCATCTCTGGAAATAGTAAGTGATCGTTTCTCCAGCTGGGAATAAGAAACCAACCACTTAATGTTTTAAGAAGGAATCTTTCTGAAAATGATGAGTGGGGTTCTGCTTCCAACCTTAGAATATCTAGTTAAAATTATTGCTTAAAAATGCAGTAGAAAGGGTGATTTCAGTGTCAGAACTTGATCTGGAATCTTGAATTAATCCCTAAGAGAATGTGACAGCACAGATAAATTTTGCCCTTGTCAGTAGTCTTAACATAATGAAAATCTAATTATATCCTTGGTTAACAAGGTGATAAATGGAAGAAAATGGGTTTCTTAAAATTCACATACAGTAGCAGTTATGGCTGAAAAGAATATTGAAAGCCTGGACTTTTAATGAGTCTTATGTTTACATCTTCTTACTTTACATGGAGAAATAATTTCATCACACTAAACACAGTGAAGGAGGTGCGTTAAGTTTCAGAGTGATAGCTGAGGTGAACTTTTCCTGCCTGTGGCAAAAGCCAAAGGGTTAAAAAATGAAGGGCTATTGGAGAGAGGTGTCAGGATTAAAAACTTCCTGCTCCCTTTTTTTCTTTCATGAAATACGCAGTAAATATGCAGGGTATAGCTGGATATAGTGATTATTCATTATTTATAATGACAGACATTTATTTGCCTTATCTGTAGAACAGGAAATAAGGAGGATAATGGTGTGTTTGTATCAGTAAATTCTAAGCACATGTGTTTGTTTTTGTTTTCCTTTTCCCATTGCCAGCGAGTACCCGGCTCAGCGCTCCAAGAAGGATTCGGAAGGAGCCGAGATGGGGGTGGCAGGGTCTGTCAGTCTCTTGCAGAACGTGACTCTGTCAACACAGCCCATCTCCAGCCTGGACTGGAGCCCTGACAAAAAGGGACTGTGTGTTTGTGGGGCCTTTGACCAAACTGTGAGGGTGCTGATAGTTACAAAGCTTAACAAAATTTGACAGCAAAACTACGGTTTCTGACAAGAAAGCAGCAGAGTTTGCAGGCTGTAAATATGGGATGGGGAGCCCTTCTGTTTCTAATTTAATTTCTCCCTTAATAAAACTGGATTAAAGAAATAGAAACCAGATCTTTCTATTGAAAGTTCAGATATGTGCAGTTAAGAGTTGTTTGACTGATTGTGCTGTGATGACTTGAAGTTGCCTGGGCACAAAACTTTTACCTTCTAGAAATGTGAATTTACACTAAAAGTAAAATGTGCCTTTGTGTTAATGCAACTCTGTAATTTCAGAGTTCACTTTAGTTTGTGTTCAGTTTATCCATAGTGCAAATCTCTTCACTCTTGTTAAATGATTTGGCTTTTTTATATATAGTATTGCCCATGTGCATTCATGCAATGGGAACTACTGTATAGTCCCTCAGAGAAACTCCTTGTGTTATTGGATTTATTAATTAGAATGTTTGTTAAAGTGACTTAGGATTCTTTAATACACTAGAGAAATTACAACAAATGCTGAAATTAAACTCATGTTTAATGGAGTAAGGTTTTTATTGAAGTTCATACAGGAATTAAACTATCAAGGAAAATGCACTGTTTTATTATTTTAGTTTGGTTTCATAATAAGTTTTTATGTTCTGTTGTTTTTACCTCTGTTTGCAACTTGGTATTCTGCAAATAAAGTTATACGGAGTGTTGTCTTAATATGAACAAAGTATGTTATTCAAACATACAGAGATTTAGAGAAGGAATGTATTTGCATTTGTATTTACCTCCATGAAAAATTTTAAAAGGTAGCAAAAGTACTGTCTTTTTAATTTTTATGGATTCAGTATTTCTTCAAAGCCCAGTTTTGGGTTTTTTGGTTTTTGTTTATTATTTACTGTAGTTTTATTGTTACTGTAGTTATAACTCATGTTACTTCTCTGCAATGTGTTTCTTTTCTGATTTTACCAGTGTCTGCTGTTGCCAGTTCTTTTTATCAGGCACAGCCAGTTACTGTCCTCTATTTGTGGATGTAGGGTGTGAGCTTTCTTAATTTCAGCAAATTTTATTTGTCACTTCTTGGTCTGGCACTAGCTTTCAGCTGACTTGTAGGTGCATATGCAAGTTTCAGATAAAAGTATTTATTTCTGAAACCAGATTGTGATGGAAAAACATTGGCTTTGTCCTGGTTAACAACAGAAAAGGCCCTGTGTGGCCATTTGCAGAGAAGCTGTTTCCTCAGGTTTGGTATCTGACAAATTCTGTCTGTCTCTGCAGTTTGCTGAGGACTGCTGATGAGTTCTCTAGTGCAGCAAGTCCTGTGCTAGAGGGTGAGGCAGGTCTGAAAGGTCTGAATGTGCCAGTGGATCCAAAACGGGCCTTGCTGCGCTTCTGTGCTACTGCTGCAAGCTTTCTTACAATAAGAAATTGCAGCTTTCCAAAAGATCTAGAAATGTTTCCCTTCCAAAGAACAGCTTGTGTCACAAAAATGATACCTGCTAAATCACAATTTAAAAGGGAAACGGGATGCAAATTTCCCTGTGTATCGCCAGTCAGCTCTGTTGTGGAGAGCACGAGGTGACAAGCTTTGGACAGAGAGACTTCAGATGTTCTCTCTCATCTAAGATTGCAGCTAAATACAAGTGTGATAAAGTTGTCCTTACTAACTCCTGGCTATCTTAGTTGATTAAACCAACTGAGGAAAAAGAGGCACCTGTCGGTAGAAAAGGTTCACGAGCTGTTAAACCTTAAACCTTGTGGAACAGAGAAATCCTTCATGCCTGTGTAGCAGACGGTGGGCAGGAGGAAAATTGCAGTAGACCGTAAACCCAATGTGTCTGTGGAAGTCCATGGCTGTAGCAGGTCACTCTGCTCCAGCTTGCCTTCCAGTTTAGATTCTTATATCTCAGATTTAGCAAGGGCCAGCAAGGATGAAAACACAGGGAATATAGGCTAAATATTTAGTGGAAGACAGAGATTTATGAGATCCAGCTGTCTTCCCTAAGACTTGATGGTTTGCTTTCAAGTGTCATATTTAGTATGTGATTTTTTTTTTCCTTCCCTGACCCAAGTAATCCCATCTGCTTTTGTGCATAGTGTAATGCTGAGAGCATATTCTGAAATTATTTTAAATGTTGTCCCTCCTAGGGTGCATCCCAGCAGGAGGGAATGGGGGGAACCATTGCTCTGCAATGCAATCTGGTGTGGAGTTCAAAGAATCAATTCAAGTGCTTTGAGTCTAAAATGCACCGTTCAAAGACGGCCTCCATGAGCTTTGTGCTGTAAATAAAATATACTCACTGAAAGGTGGGCTAGGCAGTGGAAATCAGTAGAAATATGGTTTCTCTCTTTAATAGTAACAGAATCAAGCACAGAGTAAGGGATGAAAAAGCTCTCAGTGTAGGTACCTCTGAGGGAAGACAAAGACCTCTTGAGTTCAGGACTGGGCTCTTGGTGCTATTTTTATGTACTTGTCCTGCAGCAAAAATATCCCTTCCTCATACACACAACACCAGGGAGATCTCCTAGTGAGCCTACGTGATGGGGATACAAATCAGAGCAAGAACTAATGAACAGCATTTCTTAAAGCTCCGTGGGCCTCAGAAAGATGAAATGTGTGTTACCTCTGTGTACTTAATTTTGGGATTCATTTTGTTTCTTGTTTTGAAAATGAAGGAACATTCCCTCGTGAGTAGCTGATTTCATGAAAATACGTGACAGTTTGAGTGGCAAGAGCTTGCAAAAAGCCAAGAGAGCTGGGGGGAAGCACAGATGGAAGGTAGTGCTGTCCTTGTTCATTAAAGGTAAGTGGCTGTATCTCTGTACCTAGAGAATGAGAGACAGTCAGTGACTGGAGAGAAGAGCTGTTGCTAGTGCCTGTACTGTGCCTTATCTCCTCAGCAGATTGGATTTCTGCTTCTTGCAGGCTAAACAAGAAAGTTAAGCAGACCAAAAGCTGCCTGTGGCAGCCTTGCCTGCTCTATTTATAGTCCTTCCCCCTCTTGCTGAAGACTGGCACCTTGCCTCTGCAGCCTGGAGGCTGAAGAGCTGAAGTGTGTTCTAAATAAAATCATAATGCATCAGAGATGTAGCACACAGGGGCCAAATCCTCTGTGACGCAGCAACCGGGAGAGCTCTGGAAAACCCCTGCCTCGCCCAGGGCCAGGGAATGGAATGTGCTACCGAGTTTGGAGTGACCACGTTGAACAAGTGTATCTGCTTGGCAGCTGTCGCTTGTTTCCTGTGCAAAACATCCCTGTGTGCTCATGGAAGAGAAAAATCTGTTTATGGGCAAGGCTGCAGCCAGAATATAAGTACGTGTTTGTGCTTTTTGGGGGGGGCTTTTGTTTGGTTTTGGTTTTTTTTGTTTTTGTTTGGTTTGGGTTGTTTGTTTGTTTTCTTTTTTGTTTTTGTTTGTGGTTTTGTTTGTTTTTGGTTTTTGTTTTGGTTTTTTGTTTTGTTTTGTTTTGTTTTGTTTTGTTAGCCAGGTGTTGTCCAAATCCCCGACTACTACAAATCAGGTTGGTTTGTTGGTGGTTTGTTTTTTTTTTTTCCACATCAATATAGTTACCTTTAATTTCACCGTTTGTACCTGTCCTTGGAAATTGCAGCCCTCCCAGGTTTCTGCACGTGTACGTAGTCAGTATTTGGCCCACAATATATAGTTTTCATGACAAAAAAAAAAAAAAAGTAATTTAGAGCTTAGCCATGACTTGGATTGAATTTTAAGCAAAGTAAGGCAAGTTATAACTCTGTATGGGAAGCTACAATATGGTGCCCTCACCTCTCCACAACCACTGATTCTGTTAGGGACATTATGGAACTGGTGCACAGAAGGAAGACAGGGAATTGCATAGAAAAAGAAAGACATCTGTTCTCCAGAGCCAGCAGATACAGCTTGTCAATACAGTTCAGCTCATCTTCTCTAAATTATTGCCATCAAGTAGATTTGATAGCAAACAGGGATTGTTTGGCTAAGATGACTAATTTATAAGTAAGAAGCTATTAACTTGTGGCCTGCATATTCATCACTATAATGAAGATGTCTAAAGTTGGTATTGACAAACTGCCAGAAAAATACATTGATTTACTACTTTTTTTTCTCCTGTTATTAAGCCTGCATTTTCTTACTCCTGATGCTGTTACTGCTGAATTTTCAATAGCCTGCACTCTTGAGCAGAACAACTACCCACTCCTCAAAGAATGTCCAGACCACAGTCTGTATGTTTAGCGTGTATTTAAAGCCTTTCTGCACGCAAAATATTTTGTAGTAGCAAACCCAAGTCCCAGTACTTTGGGCAAGGGCAGCTGTTGACTCAGGCAGGAGCCAAGAGCTGAATCCCTTGGAGTAGAGTGTAAAGCTGTGGGACTTCCCGTGGCAGTGCAGGTTCAGCCCAGAGGAAAGACCAGGTGGGATTTCTGTGGAACTGGGCCAGAGCTATTTGGCAACTTGGTGACGGCCTTGGCCATAGAACGCTTCCATTCTTTGCTGGTCTTTTTGGGAGGACCTGCTTCCCACAGCACATCCTGCCCTTGCAATTGTACAGCGTCATCCACACAGGACACTGGAAGTGGGTCAGTGTTGCTTGATGGCTGAAAGAGTATCCAGGGTCTCAAGGGCAGTGAGGATCTGCCCCATGCTCTGGCCTGCCTCCTCCTCAGCCACCAATGAAGCAATTGGCAGGGAAGTTTTGCAGGATCCTGTGGAAAAGGGGATCACAGCAGAGTATCTCTTCCCTGTAATACGCTTCATTGTGGCAGGAGGCCACCCAAGGCTGATAGACTCTGTATTACACCCTGACCTTCTTCTGGGGTGTCCCTGTATGTTAGGGAGTGTTTTGATTGTCTGGAGCTTAATGATGGTGATGATGAGGTTGAGCCTTTATGGGTAAGAACTGGGAGAAGGCCCACCCACAAGGCAGATATCCTGGTGGGAGTCTGTTATCCAGAATGAAGAGGCAGATGAAATATTCCATAAGCAGCTGGGAGAAGTCTCACAAGTGCTACTCCTTGTTCTTATGGGGGACTTCCCAGACATCTGCTGGAAATACAGTACAGCAGAGAGGAAACAGTTGAGAAGGTTCCTGAAGTGTGTGGCTGAACAAAGAGCTTTGGCTGGAACTCAGCATAAAAAAAGAGAGATTCTGACCTGTGGAAGAAGGAGCAGGCAAATCAAGAGGACTACAAGGATTTCATGAGGTTATGCAGGGAGAAAATTAGAAGGGCCAAAGCCCAGCTGGAACTTAACTTGGCTACTGCCAGACAATAAAAAATCCTTCTATAAATACATTAACAAAAAATGGAGGGCTAAGAAGAATCTCCATCCCTAATTGGATGCCAGAGGAATCATAGTGACAAAGGATGACGATAAAGGCTGAGGTACTTAATGCCTTTTTTGCCTCAGTCTTTAGTAGAAGACCACAAGTCTTACAAGGAGTAGCTGAGGGTACTGGGGTTGTTTAACCTGAAGAAGGCCCAGGGGAGACCTTATTGCTTTCTGCAACTACCTGAAAGGAGGTTGTAGTGAGATGAAGGCTGGCTTGTCTCAGGTAACAAGCAATAGGACAAGAGGAAACGGCCTCAAGTTGTGCCAGGTGAGGTTTAGATTCTATATTAGGAAAAATTTCCTTATGGAAAGGATGGTCAGGCATTGGAACAAGCTGCCCAAGGAAGTGGTGGAGTCCCTGGACGTATTTAAAGGACATGTAGATGTGGTGCTTGGGGAC